TGGGTGCATGTCCATGTCCCCTCTGCTACAGCCATAATTGTACCATCATGTATTTCAATGCCATCAACATGTTGCTTTGTGCAGTTAATCCAGGGCACATTTATCAGTTACAGTGTGGGAGCCACACGTTGGGAAGAGGGGAGTATGGACAGGGAGGACAGAATGAAGGAAAAGGCTACAAACAGGTGGGGTTAATATTGTCTCTCTGAGATGGGAAGGAGAAGGGGTGGAAATAATATGGCCCATTGGTTAAGATAATACTCTGGGACTGAGGGATCTGGATTCTTGGCCCTCTCTGCTCCCTCCTCTCGTGAGAAATCTTCAAGTTTTTATGCATGGTGCTTCCTCTTTTGTAAAGTGAGAGCAGCACCTTTTAAAAAAATAAATCCTGTCAGGTCTCGAGGAGATCAGACAGTCTGGTGCGTATTTCTGCTGGGCGAGCTCACCGGGGAGGCTGCGTGCAGGCATTTGGAGGATTAGCAGAATGAATCCTCTGAACCTTTGAGATTCACTCGGTGCTCCTGGTGGGGATAAAAGTGGAGTTAATTAACCCATTCTCAAATCCCTCCTGATCCGTGACCATCAAGTAGCTGCCACTGCATGGTGCTTTCCTTGGCTCTCAATGTTCCCAAACATCCATGCAAACCTGAAGTGTGTGTCTGGCTGTTACCTGCACGTCTGGCACTGCTGATCTGCTTGCAGAGGAGTGGGACAAATTTGCCCCATCCCCATTAGCCTTTGGGGTATCAACAAAACAATGTGATGCTACCCACGCCCAGTTTCCCAAACCCCAGGGTGCTATTCAAAAGAACAGTGTTCCGCGGTAATTATTGTGTATCCAGGCTGTAAGCGATCGCTTGCTCGTGCTTTAAAGTGAAGAAAGGACCACACAAATTTCTGTGTGAATTCCTGGACGGAGAGGCAGAGGAGCTGCAGCTGGGCAGTGACCTCTGCTGGGAAGCCCAGCGCTGCTCTGGTCCAGCTTCAGGGACGCACCCCCCCAGCTTCATCTAACCTGTGGGTTTCACCCCCGAGAGATTTCCATGTTATTATGGGTTTTTTTGTTTGTTTGTTTGGGTTTTTTTGGGTTTTTTTGTTTTGTTTGGTTTGGTTTTTTTGGTTGTTTGGTTGGTTTTTTGTTTTGTTTTGTTTTTAATTTATTTATTTTTAATTCTATTTACCTTTTGCTAGCTTGCCATTTGAGATTTCCTCCGAGCAGAGAAATGCTGTGCAGGACAAGCGGTTTCATTTGCACGTGTGCGATGTGCACTTCACCAGGGATATTAAACACTGTGTAACACCACAATTAAGGCCTTGCTGGTCTTGGGGAGGTTGAGAGAAAGTGGAGAAAAACGCCTTCTCTCCATCTCAGCAAGCCCCTTGAGTGCAGCAGCCACCAGCATGGTGGCTGGTAGGCACAGACATCACCTCCCAAAGGGGCATCTTCTTCCAAATGCCTTCATCCCTATGAGACATCGCCCTCTGTGTACTTTGGGGGTGATTCAGCTTCTTCTGCTGCCTTCTTCTAGTTTATGCTTGCTGGATCCCACATACTCACATCCCGCATCTGATTTCACAGATTGGCTCAATACAGAGGACTCTGCAGTGGTGGGACCTAACCTTTTCTCCCCACCCCCAGCACTGAGCAAGTTTATTTGCCTTCTGAGAGCACAGTGGTGCAGTGCCCATTTGTTTTGCAAATCAGGAAGGGGAGAGGGTCTCGCCGCAGCCCTCGGCGCGCGGTGTTGCATGTCTGATGAGCTCCCCTCTGGCCTCTGCCTCCCTGGCGCCCGTTGGCCACGTGTGTCACGGTCAGGGGTTGCTGCAGCTGCCTCAGAGGGGTTTTGGCTGGTTTGGGGAACCTCTGAGGTTCTCAAAAATAGAAATGCAAAGCGTTAATACAGGCAAGGTAAAAAACCGTGCCGCTAAGCTGGGGGCTTTAAGCCAGATGACACTGTGGCGGATTGTTTGTGTTAAACTGCCTTGATCGTGGTGGTAGGAGGAACACAGATGATCATGTGAATGTGCATGTGGGTAAAGGAAAATGGATAATATAATAATTTTCAGTAAAAGTGACTAATAGCTTGAAATGTCATTTGTAATGTACCGTCAACTAACCTAAACAAGGCAAACCCGCCCTTACCCTACCTAACCCTTAAGGGACCAGGCACTAGACCTGCACGAATAAACAAAATAAACCCTTCCAAGCACAGGTGCTGTGTAAAGTCAAGTGGGTGGTGTATTGTTTTCCTGTTGCAAATACTAAGAATTTAATTTGCAATGCAGTCTACCAGGAAATTTCGCTAAAATATCATGGGATTTTCCAGATATTTAGGTGGAGTGAATAGCCAACTCATGTATTTGTTACTCTAACATCTTGTAGTGCATTTTATTTGGGTTTGCTTATTGTTGATGTAAAATTTCCTGTGTGTGAAGGTCATTATATGAATAAGCTTTTGATGGCTATGGGTGTAAATTCAGGTCAGTCATAATCTTTCTAGTGAATTCAGAGGAAATTAAATTAGTCTGTGTGCTTACAGTAAAGATCCTGCTGGGCACAGGGGATCTTCTGCTCTCAGCATCCTCACACAGATGTTAGGACACTTGAGACCACTGAGGATAAGGCCCTGATACACGATTAAGCATCTTACTTAAGCTACTTGAACCTAGAAACATGTAGAGAGTTTTGGATTTGCTGACAATGCGCTTTTACTTTCTTTCTGAACATGTCCATCTCTTGCATAATGAGTGGCCTCTGCTTAGCATTTTCCATCTTTCTCTTAAAATGATTGTCTGCAGTTGATGCAATTAATATTCTTCCCCTGGGGTTGTACTGGCAGTCTCTTTAGGGTTTGCACAACTTGAATGTATCCTTTGCACATTATTTGTTAGCATTTAAGGAGCAAACCCAGAGAGGTATTGCTCAGCTGGTTGATTAGATGGGTGCTTGTGGAGTTGATTTCTATCTTTAAAGCTAGTGTTTTGACAAGAGGCTTGGTGGGAATGGTGAGGACATAGAAAACCCATTGGTTGCTTAGGGGTGTTGTACAGAAAGCACCCAGTGCTTAGTGGTGCTGCAGGGAAATTCAGCTGCGAAGACCAGGTTGGACATCAGAGTGGCAAGAATTCAGTGTGAAGAAGTGTGGGCCTGTCATGTGGCTGCTGCCTACCTGTGCCAGCTTCTGCAGAGAGTCAAATCACTGCTTTCTCGCTGTCACCCTACACCCTGCCTGCATCACTCCTCTGCACCCTGCAGCGAAGTCGTCCTGAGAATTTAAACTCCAACCAACCATCTTCATTCATCTGAACCTCTAACGCCTCACAGACTTAAACCTTACACATTTTGCCATTGGAGAGGATTGAAAGAAATTTCTCTGACTCATAACAGAAATCTGGGCTGTGAAGCACTTCTGGCTGTTTACTTCAGTTGGGAGGACCTTAAATGTCATCAAGTTCCAATCCCCCTGCCATGGGCAGGGGCACTTTCCACTAGACCAGGTTGCTCAGAGCTCCATCCAACGTGGCCTTGAACACTTCCAGGAATGCAGCATCCACAGCTTCTCTGGACAGCCTGTTCCACTGACTCACCACTCTCCTAGTAAAGAATTTATTCCTAACATCTAATCCAAACCTACCTTCTTTCAGTTTAAAGCCATTACCCCTTGTTCTATCACTACATGTCCTTGCAAAAAAATTTATGATGTTGAATAAAACACTGACAAGTAGTGCCTAACTTAAAATAGCTTTATGTTTCGCAGTCATGCAAAAAAAATTAAAATCAGAATTTCATCTTATCTTATCTTGTGGTTTTTCAGGATCAAGCATGAAAACATAGTTGCCCTGGAAGACATCTATGAGAGCCCGAACCATTTGTACCTGGTCATGCAGTTGTAAGTACTTAACCTAATGAATTTTTTGTGTCAAAATTGCCACCTCTTCTTGTTCTAGTTTTGTTCTTTAACCCAAAAGATGGGGTACATGAGAGGTATTTGTCTAGTGTGCTACACACTGCAAAATCTCTGGTGGGTGGTTAAAAATGAATCTCCAGTTATAACGGGCTGAGTTGTTGTGAAATTGGGAATTAAATGGTTTTGTGATTAGTGTCACCCAAATCAAACCAGAACAAAGAGGAGATGTTAAAGGGATCTGAACAGGCTTCATACGTGTGGAGTTGCCAAAGTTTAGTCCTCTGTATCTCAGCAGGTACCTGCTCTGTACTGAGCTCAAGGAGATCCGAGATGCCACCATGTGCACGGGTACCTGAGTACTACTCTTGCAAGGCAGCATCATCCTTGACCCAGCAGCAGTGGTAGATCATACCACTGTTCTTTGAAACATCTCCCTCACCAGAGCCCCTCTCCTTCTTCATTTTCCCCCTCTGGGCCTGAGAAAATCAGGATCCCACCACATGCCTGATACGCTGTAGCTGACCCTGTCCTCCTGCCACATCAACCCCTCAGAAAGGAAGGAAGGGACAGGCACATGCTCACATTGCTTCTATTTTTACCTCATTCTGAAATCAATTAAAAAACATGATTAGAAGTTAAAATTTCCTCTTACCAGCTCTAACCTCTCTATTAGTCAGTTGTGAGATCACATCAAACAAGATCAGAACAGACAGACAGGGCAGAAGAGTAAATTACAGCTGGGAAAAGCCACATGTGCCGTAAGGAAACCTGAAGCATTTGATAGAGGAAGTTCTGGGGTTAAATACCCCAGGGAAAGCTGGAGACTGTGATGGCCCTTTATCTATTGGTAACATCCAGGCATGGCGATGTCATCAGAAGTTGTTCTACTGGCAGTGTGGGAAGAATATGGTTTTTGTAACCCTATATTTCAGTTCAGAGCACTGCAAAAAGACTTGTACAGGAACACCAGTGTTGTACGAATTCCAACAAACCAGCTGGATTGTGGGAAGTATTAGTTTTGTGATCAGTTGTTTTACAAAGCCTTAATTTTGTTTAATCTCTTTAGAAAAAATAAACCGGTATTATTCCTTCTTATTAGCTTGTTCAGTGTAGTGTAACTTTCACTTTTATAAATTCCTTACATCCAGATCTTTGGGTTATCTGAAATGTAGTTCTGTAGTCACAGGTGACACTGAATATATATCTTGGTATAAATTTCTGCTTGCTCACAATTCAACACTGACTAGGGAATTATCCTTTCTGTTAAAGCTGTGCTTGTAAACCCAGCTAACTAACTTTCCAAGGGCCGAGAATTTGGCTATTCCAGAGGGATTGAGGTTCACTGATGCCCACCAGGATGAGATGCCCAACTGGAAACCCATCAGCAGCCTTTGGGGTGGCTGCTCTGAGCAATCCCCAGCCCTAACAAAGAGCTGTGCCTTGTGTTACAGGGTAGACCGAAAGCACTTAACTGAATGCAGGGAATAACCTTTCTGCAAGTTCTTGGGAAAGGGCTGTGTTATCCCCAGGTGGAGAGGACAAGAATGCCAGGGAATCACCTCATCGCTGCGGGTGTTGCATGAAGTGCAACCTCTGAACTTTCATCAGTAGTTGAGTTTGGGATCAGTTGGCATCAACAGTTGGGCAGCAACTCTGCAAAGTCCAGAAGGCTCAAAATCCATTCTGCATGCCTCCTTTCACGGATTCCTGTCTGTGAGAAGGCATGTACAGATAATTTCTGGTTTCCAAGGTAACACCAGCTTGTTGATACAATAGCTGTGAACCATTGCACAGCATGAAGTATCTATTTGTTTACATTTCTGCCCTATTTATTATTAGATTCCTTGTGGGTTTTTTATCTTCTCATTTTTGTGTATTTCTCCTGAACAACACCCCAGTTGCCTACATTTAAAACGGGTTCTGAAATGAAGCAGAAGGGTTCTGATCAAGCAGCTTTCAGGAAGCAGCATTTAGAATGGAAAAAAAGGGTGGGTAAAATCAGGGCCACTCAAAGGTCAGTGTTATGGGCACAGCAAATCTCAAATCCATATGACCTTCTATCTGAGTCCTTGCTTGCTAAGTGAACTCTAGCTAATAGTTTCCAATGGTTGTTTTGTGTCATGGACAGCATTTTCATTACCAACCTTTAGAGCACTCCTTGCTATGTTGTGGAAAATCCACGTTATAGTCCTTGAGCATCTCGCAGCACCTCTGTGGGAGAAGGCTTTTGGAGGTAGACCAAGCCTCTCTGTTTATGTTTATCCTTGGGTACATCTGCTTTTCCATGAAAGCCATGCTTGTTAACAGGCCAGCTTGAAGGATAAATATCACACCTCGTTTATTCTGTCAAAGATATGGGCAAGTAAAGGTCTCAGTGCCTGTGCTGGAGCTGGAAGGAAGGGAGTTTAAGAGGCAGCTGTCCGTGTCTACTTGACACTTAATTTGTTCCTGCCAGGCCCCCTGGGAGCTCTTCCCAGGATTACCTAGCTGTTGGTGACTCTGTCCTGTGTGTTTCCTGGCATGTTCATGGGAGATGAGATCTCTGGCTTTGGTTTCACCACCTTCTTTTCACATACATTGTATACAAGCCATCACAGAACTGTTCAAACCGAGAGGTAAGACCAAGGTACACCAGAAGTCCAGGCTGGAGATCCCCAGATTTGACAACTCAGAATTTCGTGTGCTGTCTCAAAGTGTTATCCTGTCCCTTAGAAAGGGCTGGACTATTTTTTCTTTATTTGTTTTCCTAAGTGCAAGATATTCCAACCCAGTGCCTCTAATTTTGTCAAGGTTGTGGACAATCCCTTGCTGCCTTTCACTCCAAGCAGTATTGCTCAGCTTTGGTGTGAGGTGGAGTTAGGGGTGCAGCTGCAAAGCAGAATACAGATGTAGGACAATTGCTGCCTCTCCTCTGATGATTCTGCTAAAATTTTGCAGGCAATATAGAAAAGTGCTGTAGAACATTTGTTTTACTTCCATGAGGATGATGTGCTTTCCAACCAAGAAAATACCTGCTCCTTCCCAACCTTGGATTTCCTGTAGTACTGTTAAGACCTACACAGGCAACAAAGACAAAAACTAAAATGAAACTCTGAAAGTTTCATTCCTTCTGTGTGCTGAGATTACCCAGAGGATGTTGTAAAAGACAGGGGGAAATATACTGCTTTCAGAAATAGGAGTTTTATGAAACTGTATTTTGGTAGAATATTAAGCTCTGTTAATGAGCAGTACCAGGATTTTTGGTTGCTATTGTTGCCACTTGGTAAGAATTACCCTACTGTATCTCCTAATCAATCTGCCTTATTTCACCAGGGAAAGATCTTGATAATCTGTTGTGGTTAGCGTTGTCAGGCATAATCAGCCTCTTTGAGTATTGATGATTCATTTTCTGTGTCCTGGAAAATCTTGCATAAAAATGGAATTAGATAAACACACGGAATCATTTGGGTTGGAAAAGGCGTTTAAGATCATGGAGTCCGACCATTAATCCAGCACTGCCAAGTCCACCACTAACCACGTCCTCAAGTGCCACATCTACACATCTCTTAAATACCTCTAGGGATGGTGACTCCAGTACTTCCCTGGGCACCATTTGCCAGTGCTTGGCAACCCTTTTGGTGAAGGAATTTTTCCTAATATCCAATCTAAACACCTTTTCCATCTGTGTTTTACGTGTCCGTTTGCAAACGCTGCTTCTGAAAGTGCTGCCTGGGCAGATTGAAGCAGATTCCCAGGTCTTGACTCTGACTTCATCTGTATTGTTCACCTGCACTGAAGCGTGAAGCGGCAAAGTTTGGTTTCCCAGAGATTCTTCTGTAACCTACACCAGTCAAAGCCACAGGAGCTGGGGCTGCTGCCTCTCCAGAAGGATATGGGTCCATGTCAAAAATTGATTAAGACAGTAATTTCATTGTCCTCCTTTATTCATCCATATTTACTTGAAATGTTTAGGAACTTAGTATTTTTGCTATCTCTACTCTTCTACCAAAGGTGGTTGAAGTTCATGCAAGAGGTCAGAAATTACCAAGGGCTGGCAAACTCGGATAGAGAGTCATTGCCTCACTGCCTTTGGAAAACAGGCTAAAAATGGGTCCAAAAGGCACCTCCAAAACTTTTGGAGCATGCTTGGAGAAGCATGTAGCTAGGCAAGCAATAATCAGACCTGAAGGCCCACCTCTGCGTTTCACTGCATTTTTTTTCACAGTCAAGAATGCTGCCAAATCCACAGGAATTCCCATTAGTATTAGGATCTAGTTAAAGAAAGTGAAAACCCTAGTGCCTGCCTGGTATAGCTTTCCACCCCTTTGGGGGAGCTGTGCTCCCAAACAGTACATCTGATCCCCTCAGTAGGGTGGCTGCTTTACCCAGATCCTGTTGGCTGCTGGTTCTGGTTCTCCAGGGTGTTTCCCCTGTGTGATGTCTTTTGAAGCTCTGACATCTCTGCTGAGAATCAGCTTTTAGGGTGAGCAGCCTGGTTGACCCAGCCCCGAAATGTTTCTCCTTAAATTTACAAAAAAGCCCAGCCCAAACCGAGCCTAAACCCCTGACCTTGGGGTTTTTCCAGCTTGGTCTCTTAACTCTGTTGAATTATTCAGATGATTTCCTTCACAGAAAAGCCGAGATGACGGAGGCTCCTTCCTGCCGGGTGCAAGTCACGCTTGGAGGAGAGCCCTGCCCACAAGTTTGCAGGCTCAGAATCCCAATGTCCCATTCCTGCTGTTTATCAGCTCTCCCCTGCCAGACACAGGTGCCTCATAACCCTGTAACACCTTGGGAGGCAGCTCAAACAGGCAGGTACCCACCGGTGGTAAAATCTGCAGAAGTTTTTATTATTACCGGAACTGCGCTGCCTGGGATTTTGCCTTTCAACTCCATGTTCTGCTAATAAGTAAGTGGAGTGCTGAGCTGCAATTAAGTGCTGAATTCCCTTTGTTTTTTGAGAGCCCAGCACCTGAATGCACTCCGAGAGCAGCCAAGCATGG